TTGACACAAGAATGCGATCGGTAATTGGGATTGTTCTGATGGATGATGGTAAATGGCATAATGGCATACTATCAACACGACGGGGCACGGTAAGGTCAACTTCCAAATGGTAGAAACATGGAGGGTGGTGTAGAGAACTAGGGCAGGGGAGTGGAAACGCAAGCGTAACTTTACATTATCCCAACTTCGCTAAAAGGGCGAAGGCATCGAACAAGCCACCGGATAGACGTTTGAACTTTGAGCTCGATAGTGGCTGATGAAACAAGTGGCGTATTGCCAATACCGACGTCAGTGGTGGGTTCAAAACCACGATGTATGCGGCGTTGGCTTTGAGTGAAGAATGGAGTTATGCCACTCGCACTCCGTCAACTCCCAAACCTTGGCAAATTGGAGGCGGCTACAGTAACGGAGAACTGCCGCGAGTGCGTCAATAATACCTCACGAGAGGATCACTTGGCCTACTTACCATGGCATTCCGCTCGTTACATAGCGCTCCCGCTTGACGCTCGTTGTCTGAAGCCAATCCACGCGACATCTTTTGTGAGACTAAAGTGTTCTAGCATGCCAGGGATTTCCGGAGTGGTTGCAACTTGGTTGCAACACCAAATCGACCATTGTCCCCTGACTCCTCAGCCCATTCATCCGTCCACCAACTTTGCAAATACCCCATTATACCCAGCTCTACGAATCTCCTTGAGACACACTTCCCCTCCTTGATCGCATACCTCCTGCTTTTTGAGATATATCGCGCACAGGCTCTCCCTCATCGACGTCGAGTCGGGACACCGCATCTAATGCCTCTATCTCCACCCACAATCACAACTCTATCCCACAGCTGACACCCGCCATAGCACTAGGGTCATCCAACCTACGCCCATTCGTCCCTTCTGAGTACTCTTAATCGCACCGAAGTTGGTTGGAATTCGGACACCGATTTCTCAAGCTCTGAGAGATGGGGAGGACCACGTTGAATTCGCATATGTTGACTCGGCACTCGGTCGCTAACACGGCTTCAAAGACTGATCAAAGAAGGCCGACAGGGAGAGACGAAGACAGTCGAGTTGCAGGGGTCGAATGCATATGGAACCCCGCTCGTATCCCCCCCTTTTCCCTTATGTCGGCTTCCCCAAAGTTCGAGGTTCCCCTCAAGCCTCTCAAAGACGCCCTCAAGTCGCCGTCTTGAGAAGGTTGTTTCGGACCTGGTCCACGATATCCGCTCGTGGACGACGAGAACTTCACCAACTTTCCACCTTAGATCTTCCCTGAGGCTTCAACACTGAAATGAAGCCGTGCGTCTGTGGGTTCTAAGTGGCCTTCGCGACGATCGACATCAGTCGGGAGGAAGGTGAAAAGGGTGATGAACTGCTGGGTTTCCGAACCTGAGGGAGGGGGCGGGAGACTGGGATGTGTATACGCGTTGCCAGTGCAGAGAATGTGGAGTTCGAGGGACCTGCAAAGGTAGACTTTCATTGACCGTTGGTTTAGGAAGAGGAGTGGGCGAATGTGGGTGTTGACAACTCGCCGTTAAACTCCACCTTCGCAGCAGCATCCACATTCACAGACGAAGGGAACTAACGAAAGGGATTGGGAAGATCGAATCCAGGATGCTGTTGATGTTTATGCGCACTCACCCGTCGTCGTGCTGAACAGGTCGCCAGATGGACTGCAGTGGTGGTGGTAGAGCTTCCGGGCGTGGAAGAAGCGTAGTGAGGATGGAACCCCTCGACACAACTAAGTACCTAAGCCTTGAACGCAGCGGGTGGAGGAGAGAAGAAGGACATTGTCGAGTACAGTAACCCTCATCCCATGGGAATTGAGGCAAGGAAGATTGGACAGCGATGGGTAGCTGGATGAGGGATGCTTGACTTGAATAGCTGCTGACGGGATAATGAACCAACATCAGGATCGAGATCAACATCCTAGGCACTCTCAAACCTCCGCCAGACGACTACGTCCGACCTCCACCCTGTTGTTTCGCGTGAATACGTTGCCGAGAGGTCGAGTATTGTAAATTTCTACCAACCAAAATTCGTGTGGTGGCTCAAGTCGTGTATTGCCAATACCGAGATCGGTGGTGGGCTCAAAACCACGATGTATGCGGCATTGGCTTTGAGTGAAGAATTGCCACTTGTACTCCGTCGCGCGCGTCACCTCCCGAACCTTGGCAAGTTGGAGGCTTTCGTCACAACTCCATCCCACAGCTGACATCTGCCATAGCACCCAACCTACGCCCGTTCGTCCCTTCTGCTCTTAACCACCTTTCCTTTGCGCAGTCTTCAAAGCAGAGTTAATGATCGAGTGCCAAGTCATTCAACGTGGCCCTCCTCATCTCTCAGAGCTTAGGGAATGAACATAGAAATTCCGACTAACGACGATGCAGGGGCCTTTTTGGAAAGACGGCGACTCGTTAAGAAGCTTGCGGGAAACCTCGAATTTTGGCCCGAAAGCGGAAAAAGGGGGACACAAGCGGGCTTCCAGACTCATTCCGCCCCTGCACATCGCCTCTCACTTTCTTTGTCTCTCCCTGTCGAAGAAGGTTGTTCCGAACCTGGTCCACGATACCCGCTCGTGGACGATTGAATCTCCCCCAAGGCTCCAAACACCGAGAAGAAGCCGTGTATCCGTGGGGTGTAAGTGGCCTTCCCAACGATCGATATCAGTCGGGAGGAAGGTGAGAAGGGTGAAGGATTGCTTGGCTTCCGCACCCGAGGGAGGCAGGCGGTGGGAGACTGGGAGGTGTAGACGCGTTGGCGGTGCAGAGAAGGGTGGAATTTGAGGGAACTGCAAAGCTCGACTTTCATTGACCGTTGGTTTAGGAAAAGGAGTGGGCGAATGTGAGTGTGCCAGAAAATACGCTGATAATCAATTTCAATAGAGCCAGCTGCGTAAATGATCATTAGCTACCGCCATCATAGAAAATAATATAGACTCACTTGACGTTCTCCGTCAAGCAAATCAAGGAGCCCCAAGCTCTGACCTCCCACCATGCGATTCATCACAAGCACTATAACGCAATGCACTGAGCCACCGCACACCTCCATTCTTGGAAAAGAGTTTGCAGCGATAGCAACCGATGTTGAGACAAGGGCGAACTCGGTGCCTTCCAATCCGACCGTTCATTTCGAACGATGATGGCATTGGAAAGGCCGTCAAGCCGACATGTAGATCGCGTGCAGTTTTCTGCCAGTATTGGGTGCTGATGTTATTACCCAGCTAGATCTGCCATAAAGGCTACCCAAAAGATTGTCAGCCGAGGATGCTATGTCTAGTGAGTACTTCGCACCTTCATTTCCAGGAAGTTCTTCGCTGCTTGACGAACTTAGATGGGGAAAATGTGCCCATCACAATATGAATAGGCAGCGGATTTTGTTCTCCGGTCGTGAGCCCTGTAGGTGCCATACATGACCAACATGCTAGAAAGTCAAGCCAATCCACAGAAGAAGGTAAGCGGCCGAACAACGAACGAAAAGAGAAGAGAAGCCCAGGCACGTGCTTGTGTATACATATCTACAAATACTAATAGACCAACTCGTGGCATGATTGGGGGTCTTGGCGTCTGGGCGCTCCTCTTTCTTCCTTTCCCTCTCTCATCCGAAACCTTGCCATCGTCGATATCTCAACATGAGCGGAGCGGGCAGACTACTGGTGTTTGTAGTTGCTATTACATAATAGCTACGCTTATGTGATAGCTACGCTTATGTGATAGCTACGCTTATGTGATAGCTACGCTTATGTGATAGCTACGCTTATGTTATAGCACGCTTATGTGATAGCAAGTGGCTGTGTAATCTCTCTTTTGGAAGCTTGCTCGTATACTTTTGCCCTCTCTGCGGCCTTCCACCACATTTTTACATCATGTAAAATAGAAGGTACATTGAGATTATTGCGCAAATATAAGCTATTACAAAATTTCTATGTATTTTACTGTTCAATTTTCAACTACATCGCAATATAACTGTTGGGACAAGAAATTCAACAGGGAAAGAATGTGATGGTCAATTTTGACATTTGGATAATTGATCAGCTTTGAATATTAGCTGAAAAAATGTGAGATGAAGTGCCACAGTCATTTGAAATCAGAGGATGGGTAAATCATTCAATGTATGCCTAAACAAAAGAGGTTTCTGGGGTTCCTCCCATTCCTGAAGAATTAGATTCAAGTCAGCTATGCAACAACTATTGATGCCTGAGCCTTGGGTAAAAAAATGGAACTGATACTTGGGATTGTGTCAAGGTACAAAATATGCTGTTATGTCCATCCTACTGTTGCAGAGAAACAGTTGTTTTTAAAGCTTATGTGTGAGTATCTAGCATTAATCAGGGAGATTCTGACTGCAAAAAAAAGCTGTAATTGTACAGAATTGTAATCATGCAAAGGGAAATGAAAATGATATCTCCTACAAAATATATTCTGTAGTATGGCCTGCGAACATCAAAATGGAGGTGTTTCACATACAGCCCATCAAGCAAAGGATCAATTGCTCCCACCCAAAATTTTTAAAGTAATCCAGGGCTTTATCATTTGGATGTGGATAGTCATTTTCTTGAACCATCACAGGAGAGGATTAATTCAGCCCACACAATATCACTGCTAGCCCATTTCAAAATACAGTTTAATTAGCTAATAAAAGGCCTGCACAAGATGTCCTAGCAATTTCAGCTCCCTAATTACCTCCAAAGAGAATCAGAGTTTAATCAGAGTAGGAAATGATGCTCTAAGCCAGAATTTGAGGGCAGTAGGGCAGATAAAATTTACTGGAAAATCCCCAACAGAGTAGATTGTGATGGGGGGGATAGCAGGTATCCAAAGGCCCTGTCAGAATAAGGTTGGTAGGCCAGTTGTAGGTGGAGATGGAAAGATGGGTCAGTAGTTTAGAGCTCGTGATTGTAAGATAAGATAAGATAAGAAATATTCCTCTTTTTTTCGCTTTTTCCCTCTTTT